AATGAGATGGTGCTTGTGAAGTGGGTGCTGGTTGGTAGAGAGAAAGTGCTGACAACTAGTTGTTATTATTAATAATAATATTGTTTTCCTGATTTGGACCAAAGGGGGAGTGCATTGGAAGGTTCACTCCTCTAAAGAGAGTGGCAGAGCGAGACCTCACCCTCCAAGGGTCATCAGGTGGCTAGAGGCAGGATGATGAAGAACAGGGCCATCCTGACATCCCGAGGCCTGATTGCTGCCCACTGCACCTCCAGCCACATGCCCCAGGCAGGAGCATTCAGTTTGTGAAGAATTGCAGCAACTGAGGCTTGAGGACCCTCCCATCCAAGATGGAGGTGCCGCTGCTGCTAGGAGGTCTTTTACGTGGACCTCTTGCAATTTTTCTGCACAATCACAGAAAGACATCTGAGAAGATGACATGGCGGGGAAAGCACGGGCCTTTGTGTTAGTGCTCATCCATCCCCCGCCACCCCCGTGATTATGTGATGACACTCATCGTATTGCATTGCTGGCTGCTGCCCACAAGTGGACGCTGGGCACATAGGTGGGCTCTGATTATTTGTAAACCAAGAACAACAAGAGTAGACCACGAATGTGCCAAGTCTGATTTACCACATCTTCAATTTTTTTTTTTTTATATTCTAGAAATGGCTTGGAGTCTCATGGGGTTGAAAAGAGCTAAAAGGCCTCTGATGGCAGTGTTCCTTCTGCCTGGTCCCCATTCCCCTGCGGTGCTCTGTACATCATCACCACAGTTGCCTCTCATGTCTGGGAGCTCACTCCCTCCTGGAGCAGCCTATGCTCAGTCAGTAGTTGTTGAGTTCACACTCTGGAGTCGGGCTCCCACACTTTGTGTATGGGCTTCACCACAGACCATCTGTGTGGCCTTGGGCAAGTCTCACAACCTTTCTGAATTCAAGTTGCCTCCATGAGTTATAATCATAGTACCTTCCTCCTAGGTTGTGAGATTCAGTGAGATACTCTGTGTAATGCTTACAACAGCACCTGGTGCATGGTAGGTACTCATTAAATGTTAGCTGTGTTTTGCCCCTAAAAGGCTTCCTATAACATTGACCTAATCCCAGGCCTGAGGCTGAATCAGGCACAGTCCAGCCTGGAGTAGGTACAAAGATCAGTGCTCAGAACCCCCGTTCCTCCCCCTGTGCAAGAGTTGAGGAGGGCAATGAATCACGAAAGACACCTCAGCCACAGTCTGACCTCCTGGACCCAGAGTCCAAGCAGCAGGTGCCACCAGTGTGGGACAGGTCCAGAGGTGCTTCTGTCTCACCTTTTGCCCAGGTGAACCCACACTAGGAATGTCTGGCTGGCTGGGGGTGATCAGGGGCACCTGCCAGGATATGGACAGATTCTTAGAAGTGTGCCCATCTCTGAATCATCTGTGGGCACAAAACTTGGGCCCAGAGCTAGGGGACTGGCTCGGCTGGATGTGTATCCACACCATGGGGCAGGGGCCTGCTGCCTCCCAGCATGCTGTGGTGACACTAGGAATGCTCATGTTTACTTCCCAGTGTCTGTGACCATGTTTGTGTCCATCCAGAGATGATTTGCGTTGGTGGTGGGAAGAAAAGGAGAGCCCCGTGCCATGCCTGGGCCTGAGAGTCAGTACAGGGCGCCACCCAGGGCTGGTGGGGACTTTTGGGGACTAAAGTCCCTCTCTGGTCCTCGTGGCTGGGGCGGCAATGAGACTGACTGACAGTTGGGCATTACATACAGTCACCTCTTGTCACCTGGGAATGCAGCAGGGCCCAGTCCAGAGGTCAGAATCGGGAGCAGGCAGCCCAGGCCCAGTCAGGGACAGGCTCTGCTAGGGGCCCTCAAGTCACTTGAATATGTGTCCCCATGTCTGCTTTAGGCCACCCCTCCTCCTTCCAGGGCAGAACTAAGGAGGGAGAGCTCTTGTTGTCACAAGAAGAATCTGTGTGGGGTACGGGGAAGACTTTCAGCAGAGAGGTCTGTGGAGGGCTTCTGGCTGACATGGCAGAATCAGGCTGCACAGCCCAGCCTGGCAGCAGGGACATGGATCCCAGGGGCCCCTGCACTAGCCTCCCCTGGACCCAAGCAGAAGTGGAGATGGTCATCCCAGCTCTAGAGGAGCATCTCAGCTGGTCAAGCCCCTCCTTTTCTCCACCTGCCACCAGCTTCTCTCTGGACCTGGACCTGGGGCCAAGAACAGTCTCCTCTTTCCCAGGGAGGCATGAGAGGTAGGCAGCTTAAGTTTGCCATCAAGAGGCCACCACTGAGGCCCAGATTGGACCCATTGGAGGGCACAGGACCCACTGAAAGAGATCAAGTCCCAGGCTTCATTCTGCATCCTGCTAAATGGGGCAACTGGTTCTCCATCCAACTCAGCACCAACCAGCAGGGCCTCTCTGCCCACATCTTCTGACTTCCCTGGGCTCAGTGGCCCTGAGATCTGATACCCACTGTATCAGATCTTTACCAAGGTAAGGAACAGGCTGGGACAGAAGAGGACAGTGGCACAGCAGCCTCTCTGCCTTCCCTAATACTCAGTGACCTCTAATCACCTTCTTTCCCTCCCCACTCTGTCCCCAAGTTCTGCTCTCAGAAAGCTGAAACAGTTTGCTCAGATCTGTGGGTGACCACTAAGTCACTCAGGGTCTCATCTCTCCAGATCACCTAGGACCAGCCAGACTAAAGTCATGTCTGAAGAAAGACTTGGCTTCTAGTTCCCTGTCCTGCCACTGCTAGGCCAGGTGCCTATGCGTGGGTCTATACCCCTTTGAGCCTTAGGTTTCTTACCTATAAAATGGAGTCAAGGGGCTGGGGATGGGGCTCAGTGGTAGAGCGCTCGCCTAGCACATGCGAAGCTCTGGGTTCGATCCTCAGCACCACATAAAAATAAATAAATAAAATAAAGATATTGTGTCCAACTACAACTAAAAAATAAATGTAAAAAAACCAAACAAATAAAAATAAATAAAATGGAGTCAATGCCTAATTATCAGGATTCTGACTACTTGCATGGTAGCAGAATACAGAGTCTTAAAGAAATTAATCTCTCATAGCGGAATTTCAAGTTGTAGCCATAGGTAAAGGGTTCTGAGGGTAGGACGGGCCAGTTCCTCAGGCCTCTGATTTTGCTCTATGGGGCAAGTTACTTCCTCCTCAGAGGATGGCTGCCTATCTAAAGCAGGCCCTATTTCTACTCTATGCCTCCTGCCTTCAGACTGGACTGTCTGGGGAAGGACACAGTGTTCAGGAGGGAGGACAGAGGTTTGCAGAGCCCCCTCCATAGACCAGCTGCTTTGCACGTGCTCATTAGCTTCTCTTCACAACTCTGGGAAATCCAGATTCTATCCCTGTTTTACAGAGTAGAAAATTGGGACTTCGAGATGTTAGATCTAGCCCTGGGTTATATAAGTCGTGCCCAAGGCATCATTTAAACCTGAAATTTCTTGGCTCCAAAGACCTAGCATCCAGAAGACAATGTCCCCTGATGCTGTCATCCTGGCTGCAGGCCTGAAACATGAGTCCTCTCCTGGACAGCTCCATAGAGCCCTCTGTGCCATACCTTTCCCTTGCTGATGGGGCTCCCCATCCCTTGTTCCTCCCAGATGCCACATGGCCAGGGGACTCAGGAGCCTGAAGCCCAGGGGAGAGCATTGGTCCCAGCTGCCTGGCTTGGAAGGGCCCCAGCCATGATTGCTGTTTCTGTCCCAGGGGGTGTTACCAGTGGGTCCAGAGGGCAAGGTGAGGAGCATGGGAGGAGGGAGGGGCAGAGGCCTTGGGCTCAGGGCAGGCTTTGGCCCTCTCCCACCAACTCCTGCTCTGGCTCAGCCATGAAGGCTGCTGGGAGAGCAGCAAGAGATGGAAGCCCCTTGGGGAGGTGCTGGGCTGGGAGCTGGGGAACTCAGCCTCCCACACAGGCCCTGCCACTTGCTCTTCAGCGTCTTCCCTTCAGACACCACCATCCCAACCCATTTGGCTCCCAAGTCCAAAGAATCAACCCCCATCCCCCCACCCCACCCGGCTCCAGCTGTTGTCAGGACTTGGAGGAGGGAGGGATAGGCCTGGAAACTCAAGAGTGAAGGGTTGAGATGGCCCCAAAGCCCCTGGCTTGTCCCTTTAACCTTAGCTCTGTCCCTTCTGCCCAGCCTCTCCCTGGGGAGTTAGCCTGTGGGAGGGAATGGGGTCTCCCCAGGCCCACCTGGGGCTGAGCAGGCTTGCTGCTGTGTGACAGAACAGCATGGGTGCAACCTCCAAGGGATTTCTCAACTCTCCTGGCAGCTGGCTGCAGCTGGCCTCCCTGCCTCAGGCCCTGGTCAGCAGGTGACCTTTGCCCAGCTCATTAGGCCCTTGGTGCCTGCTCACCTGTCCTGACAATATAAAACAGGTCAGAACCCTCTCGCTTGTCTGCTCAGTTCATCCCTAGAAGCAGCTTCTCCAGGTAATACCTCTGGGGAGGAGGCCAGGGCGGGAAGAGGATAGAGAGGGCTGGAGGAGGCTCCATGCCCCCAGCATTGGCCTGGAGAGCAGCCTGCCAGAGCCTGGGAAGCCTCAGGGGTCCAGGAGTCCCCCACCCTCGTTGTGCCTTCGGGAAGACGGAGGCTCAGAAAGGGGAGGTCACTTGCCCAAAGCCTCTCACAGGGTGGTGGCAGAGCTGCAGCTGGAGCTGGCTACCAGTCTGCACACTTGTCCCTCACTTTGCACACTTAGGCCTGGAAGAAACCTTTCCGTACCAGTCCTCCCCAGAGAGGAAGTCTGAGGCCTGCAGCAGGACAGCAATCTTCCCCTAGTCACTCAGCATATTAGCAGTCAGGCCCCAGGTGTCCTGATCCCCAGTCTGGAGAGTGGAGTTCTCCAGCATCCCACCAGCCGTCCCACCCCCCAGGGCCTAGGTCTCCAGAGTCCCACGTCGGAGTCCATATTAGCTGAGGAGTAGGTGCTTCTCCTGCTGACTGGCTCAGGTCACACCTCAGTGGCCATGCCATGTCCAGGGAAGATCCAGAGGTGCCCCTCACAGGATACTTCCCTACAGGAACAGAGGCGCCATGCAGCCCCGGGTGCTCCTTGTTGTGACCCTCTTGGCACTCCTGGCCTCTGCCCGTAAGCACCTTGAGGGGACTGGGCCTGGAGCAGGGTGGGAGGTGGCTTGGGTATCCTGAGCCCTCGTGGGCGGTGAGCACACAGGAGCCAGGAGCCAGCCCTGGAGGCTGAGCTGCCTCTGCCCAGTCCTGTTCTCCCGGCAGGAGCGACTGAAGCCGAGGATGCCTCCCTCCTCAGCTTCATGCAGGGCTACATGGACCGCGCCACCAGGACCGCCCAGGATGCACTGACCAAAGTGCAGGACTCTGAGATGGCCCAGCGGGCCAGGTACATGCACTGGCTCTCCTCCCACCCCTGGCCCTCTCTCCCTCATCCCCACCTGACCCTGTCCTGGCAGGGGCTGTGGTGATAGTACTGTAGCTCTCCAGGTTTCCTGAGCCTCCACCTCTCTGAGCCTCTCTGACTGAGCCTCCCTGCTCCCTCACGGGGCCTTTGCAGGCGGCTGTGGGAGAGATGACGGGGGTGGGGGGGGGAGACTCTCTTCCTCTGTCTCCTTTCTTTCTCCCAGTGCAGCCCTAGGTGGCCCATTTTAGCCCTCACGTCTACTTTCCTTTTCTGATTATCCTTGGGATAGAGGAAGCTGCTCCTGAGCCATCTCCGGCCTGGGGTGTCAGGATGTACTCCTGCTGTTCCAAGCCTTGGGGCCAGTGTCTGTCTGGGAGCAGAAGTCTGCCCTTGTTCTTACAGTCTGCCCCACCTATGAGTCCTCAGCTTCTCCTCAGTCAGCCTGCACTCTGCTGGCTTTGGCCACATTTGTATAGCAGAGGCATTTGCAAAAGTTCTTAGTCCTCAGCTTCAGCTGTGGAGTGGGTATTAGCCCCCTACTTTGCAGATAAGACAATTTGGGTTCAGAGAGTTTAGGTGACCTGGCCCAAACTATACAGCTAATTAATCCTCCAATGATTTATCTAATGAGAGACTGCCTCCTTCTGCCCACCTGCTCAGAGCCACTAGGTTGTATGGGTCCTGGGGACACCATTTGCATGAAATACAACAGCACCCCTGACTTCACACATCTCCCCATCCAAGACTTGTCCCTAGGGTTTGCAGTGGGGGGAGGGGCAGCATGTTCCAACCTGGGGAACTGTGGGGTCTGACTTGGGCAGATCCACCTTGCATCTCTTCTTCTTGGGGTGGGAACTGTAGGTGGTCCCTGCTTGAGGTCTCAGGGGTGTTGCTGGGTGAAGGAGAGTAGGTAGCCAGGACAGCCAGCAGGGATGTGTGTGTGGGGGGGTCCTATAGCCTATGAACAAGCTCTCAGGTCCATTTCTTTCCTTCGTAATGATTTACCCCTAGGGGCTGGATGAATGGTGGCATTAACTCTTTGAAAGACTACTGGAGCACATTTACAGACAAGTTCTCCGGGTTCTGGGAGTCCACCCCCGACGCCAGCCCAACTCCGTCGTTGGAGGCCTTCTGAGATCTCCTGCTCCATGCCCGCCTCTTCATCCATCCTGCCAGTTCCCTGGGTTCTGCAGCCTCCTGGGCTGCCCCTGAAGGTTGCTTTAAAGGGGTAGTATTCTCCCACCCCCTGGCCCCATCCAGGCATGCCACCTCCCAATAAAGTTGAACTAGACGCTGCCGCGAGTGGGATATCCCTTGTGTGCCATGCATGTTCGGGCATTGGAATGAGTTGGGGCTCTCTTGTGGGTGGGCCTGGGGACCAGTGCCCCCTGCCCTGAGTTTCTTCACCTGAGAGGTAGGAATAGCCCTACTCACCCTGCCTGGGTCTGCCTGGAAGATGATCTTCCTGTATGGAAGATCAAACAGGAGAATAGAGTTGACGATTCTGTAATCACTGTCAAGTGCTCTACAGCATGACTTGAATGTGTGCTCTATGCCCGGCTAGCACTTTTATGTCATCATCAGAGTTGAAATGGTGTGTGTTCCCCAGAACTGTGGAGGTGACTTCCACTGCCAGGGCCACCTGGTCTTCTGAAACACACTTAAGGGAAGGAGGTGGGATGGGGTAGTGGTTGGAGTAAGACACAACTGGCTCTAGTACTGGCTCCACCACTTCATATCAGCTTCACTTTCTTATCAGTAAAATGGATACAATAAATACCCCTCCGTTGTTGATTTGTTGTGAAAATGAAATGAAACACTGTTTGAAAGCATTTGGCATAGCACCTGCACATCAGAAATGCCTAGTAAATGGTTGTCATTGTTACAGCTGAACTGATTGGCCCCCTAGGACCAGAACCAAGAAGGAACACAAGGTCACCTCCAACAGGGGCTGTTCCTTGTGTCCCCCAGCCCCAACAGATGTTCACATGAGAGAGATCTGGGACCACAGATCAGGCCTCAACTGTACAGATAAAAGGCCAAGGTTCAGAGAGGTAAAGGCACTTGCCCTGTAACAAATGCCAGGGCCAGACATTGAGCTTGGGCCAGCTGTCCATATTCTGCTCAGTTGGCATAGAGAAAAGCTGTGGTACTCCTCTGCCAGGTATTGCATGGGCTCCTTACAGATCTTGGTGCCATCAATGCAAACAGCTCCAACTAGAGACTACTTTCTCTCTGGAAATTCACCTGGCTTTCTCTTCTTGCCCAACTATATCCAGGAACCTCAGTGCCCACACCTGAGAAATGTTCCCATCCAAATGCAGCTCCGGATGATTAGAATCTAAAAAGCCCACCCTGTTATCTAAGAATTCATTAAGCTACACTGGTTATGAAGGAATAGAATATTCGGGCACCTGAGCTGGGTGTAGTGGCACAAGTCTGTAATCCCAGAAACTTAGGGGACTGAGTCAGGAGAATGGCAAGTTCAAGGCCAGCTTGGGCAACTTAGTGAGACTCCTATCTCAAAACAAAAAATAAAAAGGACTGGGGATGTAACTCAGTGGTAAAGCACTCCTGGATTCAATCCCCAGTGATGAACAAACAAACAAACAAATAAATAAAATAAAAATAAATCTAGAGGCCTGTACCACAGGGCAAAAGGCCCTGCTGCAGGGGTGGGGGAACAGAGGGGGAGGCTCCAGGGAAGTGCTGCCCAGATCTATGAAAACATGTGCATGCCCATGGGGCCATACAGAGATGAGCAAGAAGAGGGTGGCGGGATGTCAATGTGAGCATGTGCATGTATGTATACAGACTCATACGAACTTGAGTGCCTGGCCACTGCTTTTTTTTTCCCCTTAAATAATCACAGATGCCAATGGGGCAGATGGATCTAAAATGAGCAACCTAGCCCATCCTGCCTCAGTGAGTGACTTCAAAAGTCCAAGCTTCAGCCTCACCATGGTGACATGAATCTAATGACAATCTGTTCAGGATGTGGGAAAGGATGCAATGAGATGATGGAGATGAAGCCATCTTGGGAATAAAAATATGCAAATTACCTGGGAGAGGTGGTGGTTGTTTCTGGCCTGGCCAGAGGGAACAACAGCACCCAGAGCCACAAGGATAGGACAGACAGCTTCCACAGCTATGTCTGTTTCTGGGGAAAGGAAAAGTAGCAGGTGTGTGTGGGGGGGTCCTGCCCTTGCCAAAAAGAAAAGGGAAGTGTTTGCTTAAGAGGTTTTTGAGTAAATAAAAGAGAAAAGGGCTAACTCCAAGCACTTCCTGCCCAAATCCTTCAATGTCTCCTTGAGGTCCACCCCACCAGGCTGAACCACAGAGTTAGAAAAGGCTCTTGCCCTCTGCTCAGGTGAACACCTTTTCTGTCCAGCTCCCACCGGGGAACACCTCTGGGAAGGGGAACCACTTCTCCCAGCCCTGTTCCTGGACCCCCCTCAGGCAGGGCTGCAACACCTCCATTTGAGCCTCTTTAGGTCTCCTGGCATTTGATTATCTGCCACTTTGCCTGGCCCTCCATTACCTCCTTTCTGTCTGCGCCCTGTTAAGACAAGGACTCAGTTGACTGTCATTCCAAACCAGTCAGGCGCCATCAGGTCTCCCAATATGGACTAAGACCCTGCAGAGGCCCAGGCTGTGTTCGGAACTGTTGAAGTCTCTGCTCCAACGCCAAAGGCTCACACCAGTTCTCCGAACCTGGAAGTGCTCTCAAGCGTCCCGCACCCCACCTCCATCCCCCGAAAAGAAAGAAGCTGCTTCCACTTTGGAAACGTTTATTCTAAGAACCCGAAAGCTGGAATTGGGGAGCAGTAGCTGCGGGCGCCTCACTGGGTGGTCAGCTTCTTGGTGGCCTCGTCGACGGCGCTCCAGAAGCTCATCTTGAGGTTTTCCAGCACCGGCAACAGGCCCTGGCGGAGGTCCTCCAGCGCGGGCTTGGCCTTCTCGCCGAGCAAGCTCAGGTGCTCGGTGGCCTTGGCCTGATAATCCGCGAGGGAGGAGCTCTCCTTCAGCGCCTCGAGGCGCGCGGCCAGGCGTTGGCGCAGCTCGTCGCTGTAGGGCGCCAGATGCGTGCGCAGCGCGTCCACGTGGGCGCGTGCGCGGTCACGCAGCTCCTGGCCCAGTGGGCTCAGCTTCTCATGCAGCTCCTGCAGCTTCTGGCGCGCGCCCTCGCGCAGCTCGGAGCCTAGCGGCTCCACCTGCTGGCGGTAGCGCTCCACGTCTTCTTGCCACCTCTTCTGGAACTCATCCAGGTAGGGCTGCACCTTCAGCTTCACCTCCTCCAGATCCTTGTTCATCTCCTGCCTTAGCGACACGGTGTCTTTTTCCAGTTTATCCCAGAACTCCTGAGTCACTGGGCCAATCTGTTCGCGCAGCTTACTGACAGTGGAGCTCAGGGAGTCCCAGTTGTCCAGAAGCTTCAGGCTGATGTGGAAGAGAGAGGGGCTGAGGAGTGGCTTCCTGGGCAGCCTGGACTGCCCTGGATCTGCAAGCTCAGCGCCCCAGGTTACCTGGGGTGGGCTCTGGCCATCACCTGTCCCTGAACGTGCAGTAGCTGTGGTCCTAGTTTTCCCATGCACTGATTCCAACACCCTGAATGCCACCCACCAAGTCGCATTGTACAGATGGCCTGAGGCACAAGGAGGAACTAGTGGGAAAGAGAACCGGGGTTGGCATGGGTGTTGAAGGACGGTCTTGTATCTAAAGCACTGGAAGTTAGGAGGGGAAGGGGCTGGCTGCATTCACAGGTGAAATGTGGTTCGGTTACTGATTAGGTGGGCCCTTGCTGGGAGACTGTGACCCTGCCTGGGGATCTCATTCTTACTTCTCCACCAAAGACCTGCCGTGGGGCCAGCTCATCAAACAGCAGGTGAGGATGTCTGACTACAACATCTTTCCATAGGCCTCTCTGCCCCCAGGACTCCACTACCTTTCCCCTGCCCCAGCCCCCAGGCTGGGTCCTTACTTTAGCTGTTTTCCCAAAGCAGAGGTTTCAAATTGGGTCACATAATCTCTGCCGCTGTCTTTGACTGCATCCAAGTACACAGTGGCGAAATCCTTCATTCGATCCCATGAGGACTGGGGTTCATCTTGCTGCCAGAAATGCCGAGCCTGGCTCCCTGGAGGTGGAGGGACACCCTGGTCAGGCAGCTCTGGGTTGGGAGCTGGGCTGAAAAGCCAGGCATAGGGTGGGAGAGGGGCAAGTGAGAAATTCCACTGCATCCAGGATGGTGGGCCACTGGACTTAGGGAGAATCCCCAATCTCCCTAGGCCGGGGGCACCTACCCGTCAGGAAGAGCACGGCCACAGTCAGCACCACTGCTTTCATCCTGCAGGGTGTGGGAACCTGGAGGAGAAGAGGGGCCTGGCTGAGGGGGCCTTTTGTGTGAAGGAGTCCCATGTTCCCCCATGTAGTCAGCCAGGGGAGGAGGAGGAGCCTAAAGTGAAGAAAGCCCCAGGTACCCAGGTCCTGCCCAACACCTAGAGCTGGGGAGCCAGAGTAGTCTGGGGCAGGCACCCGCACTTACCTCCAGGAACTCTCCAGCAGTCTCTGACTGTCTAGCTCTCCCTGGTCTATTTATGCCTCCAGGTAGGGGCTGGGCTGGAAGACAGATAAGCCCAGCCAGGCCCTGTCACTGCTCACTGGTTCTGGCGATGTGGAACTTAGAGTTCAAGGATCAGCTCTGCCCAGGAGCCAGGCAAATAGAGTGGGCAAACAGGAAGCTGCGGGGGCTGCAGGGCAGAGGTCAAGGGTTCAGACAGGGGCAGGATGAGGGTGGCTGTAGGCTTGTGGGTCCCCAGGTTCGGGGCAGCAGCACCCATCATGCCCTTCCCCTCCCAGTGTGGGAGTGTGTGCATGTCATTGTGCATTGTGCCTGTAGCAGGGAAAGAGGGGAAGGGACCTGGGACTCCTCCACTCAGGAGATCTCCTCCCCCACAGTCTTCTTGCATTTCAAGGATTGTTTCACACGTCTGTCTGCACTGCTCCTGCCTCTTCTGCCACCAACCCTGGTTCCTTCTTTAGTTCCCAGGGTGCCATACACTTCTCTTCACCCTCCACAGGCTTCCTAAACCCCAAATCCAAGGGAATCTGTGGCACTAAGGAGTTGTGGGAGGAGGATGCTCAGGGCCCCAAACGGAGATTTCAGAGGCCTCTGACATATCAAAATAAATGCTAGATACCAACATGAAGTTGCCAACTATTCATTTTGTCATTAAAAGATATTACCCTTGCCTTCCTTTCAAAGCCAACTTCACCATCTACCATCACTTCAAAACAGACTTTTTAACACCCAAAAAGCATAATCTCAGAATTCAAGTGTAGAATTTCAGTCATTCACACATGCACCTTTACATTGTTTGTGTTTTCATTTGATCACACACAAATGAGAGTGGCTATCGGATCTGAGAAAGCCCTGTGTAGAGGAAGGACTCTTGGAGGTGGAAGCAGAGGGAGACCTGTTTTCTTTTTGTTTCATTTTGTCTGCATCTTGCTGAAGGAGGAATGTAAGCCAGTTATATAACCTCTCTAAGCTTCAGTTTCCTATCTGCGGATGAGCTCAAGAAATGTCCAGGGTGCTGAGGCCCCTGAGAGAGGCTATAGGTGGAAGGTGCCCTGTGTTGGTTGGTGTTTGCAGCACCATCTTGCAAGGTTTCGCTAGGAAAGCCCAGGTCATGCAGCCTGTGAAAGTCCAAGCTGAGAGGAACTTTGAAACCAACTACTCCAGCCTCTCCTCACCCTGTCACCTTCCAGATGTGGAACTGAAACCAGTGGAAGGAATCAACATCTCATCTCTCCGAGAGTTAGAGGCAGGGCTGGACTTAGCACCCATGTCTCTGGACTTAGGTTCCAGGGCAGGTATGCACCCTATACCATCACCCCAGGAAACTCCCCAACTCTCTAGAAATCAGCTTGTGTTTCTGTCAGACCTGGGAGTGGCTGAGATCCAGGCCTCTCCCACTCCAGCCCCAGCTGATATCCTGCCTTTTGTCTCTTAGAAGCCTTTGGAACCAGAGACCTTAGGTTTGAATCCTGGCTCTGACACTTATTAGCCATATGACCCTGGGTAAGTTACATAACCTTCCCACATCTCAGGTTCTTATCTGCTAAATGAAGATAATGATAGAACATGCCATCTCTGATTAAAGTTGTAACAGGGGTCACAGTGTGCATGGTAGGCAGAATAATGGTCCTCCAAAGATGTGCGTGTCCTCCTCTCTGGAATCTGTGACTGATTGTGCATAGCAAAAGGGGTTTTGCAAGTGTGATTATGAACGGCCCAGGGTAATCACAATCGTCCTTCAATGTCCAGAGGGAGGTGGCAGAGTCAGTGGCAGAGTCCGAGATATGAGGATGGAAGCAGAGGTTGGAGCAACGTGAACACTGGAAGGATGAGCCAAGAGATGCAGGCAGCCCTTCCCTAAAAGAGGTGAAGGGACAGATTTTCCCCTAGAGACTCCAGGAGCACAATGCCAGGGACACCATGAATTTAGCCTAGTGTGACCCCTTTGGGACTTCTGACCTCCAGATTTGTAAAATAATAAATTTGTGTTGTTCATAAGCATGAAATGTGAGCACGTATGTGAAACTGTTAAGAAGGTCACTAACACTCAATAAATAGTAACTATTCGCATCCCAGAATCCCGGGTCCTGGATTCCATCCCCTATTGCCACAAACACACTTGCATTGCCACAGAATAGCCCAGGACCTCAGCTTCTAACAGCAGAAGTCCGGAAGGCAGGGAATCCCACAGTTCTGTCTTTGGCCTTGCTTGCAGGTGCCCAGATGGGGTACATCTCCAGGACAGAAGCTATTCCTGATGTCTGGCTATTGGCCATCCCAGCTGTCTGTGGTTTACAGAGAGGGTGGGAAACTGACTTCCCACCCAGTGTGGGCAGCCACTGGATCTCAAGCCAAGAGATGTTCCTTTCTTAGGATGGGGGTTGATTTCATCCCAGCCAGCATGTGGGGGATCTGAGAAGCTTATCAATTGGACTCCAAGCTATCTGCTACTGTTTTATCCTTCTCTTGGCTTATTACTGAAATTATTATGGTTAAACCTAATATTTAATATCTGCACAGTTCTTTTGTGGCCGAAGCACTTCCACAGTTAACGTATGTCCCCATGAGGCTGGACACTGTAGCTTCTCCTTACCATTGTGCCTGTCAGAAAACTGCAGCTAAGAGCTCAGAGCTGCCTGGACCTCTTCAGCTGAGAACTGTGTGATGCAGGGCTGGGAATCAGGAGCCTTGGCTTCTTGTTCTTTGATGGGGGCCTATTGGCTTATGTAGCCCTAGGACTCTTCAGGGATGTTCTTGGCTTGGGGATTCCAGGGCATCAGCAGAGGTAGGGAGCTGTGGGACAGCACCTCCCTAAGCAAGAAGTTTCCTTGTTGAAACTATTTATTCACTGGTGTCTGCTCCATTTCACTGCAAGTCGTAGGCTTAAATGAGTCTAGATAGATACCTCTTTACTATTTGGGAAAGGAAGGAAATCTTTCTGGACAGAGGCCTACGGAAAAACTAACAAACTGGGCTTATCACAGAATCTGGGTCCAGTGACAATAGGAATTTCAAGAGCCTGGGGTTAGACTGGCTTAGTGGATGTGGGGCCTCTCACCATTTATTGGTCCTTATTCCCACCATCCTCTTCCCTCCTGTTGGGAACATTGCTGAAGTGGCCTCCAAGCGCAGGCCCTGGACCCCCTGCCATGTGTGGGCGAGCTGGCACCTGCTGCAGGGGTGATTCTGCTCAGAATGACTGGCAACCCATTTCACAATATATGACCCAACATACTGATCAGTCTGCATGGGAGAGGACTCTGTCCCTTGCTAGGCCTGGCACCTAACAGACACTCGCCAAACATTTGCTCAATGTGTGACACTGGCACACTAAAGGAAGTTTCACCAGATTGGCAAAGGGTCATGTGAAGGAGCAGACCCTGAGCAGGAAGACTCAAGAAATGAGCACTCAGCCTTGTGGCGGGCCCTGCCCAGAACACACGTGTGACCACACAATGGTTTGGGCTAAGATGGGGGAGCTAGGATTGGGGAGGTTCTGCTTGAGCAGGGGAGAGGACCCCAACCCCCCACACATCCTACTGGATAATTTTGTCACAGCTCTTGTGATAGAGCCCCAAGGTGGACTCTAGGACATCTTTGAATACCCAACTCTGCCTGATCTTCCTGCCCAGGAAGAGGCCATCATAGCTCATCTTTGACCAGCATGAGGAAGCACAGCAGCCCCTGGAATTCTTATCTTTGTAGGCAGAGTGGGGTGGGACCTGGCACAAAGTCAGAAAGGGGATCTTGTAAGGAGACGTCAGCACAGTTTCCATTTTCCAGAACGCGGAGATCTCCAGTGCCCTGCTTCAGCACCCAGGGAAAAAGGTGTACAAGTTTTTGAGAGAAATCTGGGCGTATCACGGTTTGGTTCCAGAGATTCACCTTTCCCTGCATGTGGTGTGTACAGGGACCTCCAAAAGACCCTGAGAAGGCTCTTGCTGTTCTGATCAGTCCCACAGCAACTTTCTAGTCCCCCATGGGCTGTCAAGTTTTCATAAGTTACCTCCACTTGTTCTTTTTACAATCTTAGTAATTCCAGTTTCAGAAAGCTTTGTTCATAGAAGACCTCCAACCAGCTCCCTGGGACCTCAGTGGGAATTCTATCCTACTCCTTGGAGTTCAGGTGTGGAGAAAGGGAAAATGTAGGAAAAGTCCCCCTTTTACCATACTTGTACCACTTACTTTGGCTATCATGTCACCAAGCTGATTGGGTTTGCCCCATACGACTCCAGCCATGGCCAACATCTTTGAGTTCCCTCTTCTCCTCCTTCACAAGTACCCTTTCAAGGAATTTGTTTTCCATCTACTCAGCAATACCAGTGCTCCCAGTGGAAGGAGTGAAGTCCAAGCTGCAGCTGAGTTCGGTTTCTAGAGAATGCCAGGTCCATAAGGCAAGGCAGACGCTGCTCACGGCCCAACCCCAAGCTTGGCAGACTTCTCCCGCCCTTAGCCTTCCAGCTTTCACACCCCCCCCCCCGCCGCCCAATGCTTCTCTCAACTAGACTCTGAACCACAAGGCAAATAACATATCAGCATTAGAACATAATCAGGTTTTTATTTTCACAACCTCCTACTGTCCAACCAAGTTACTAAGTTGTAAATGCCCCACACAAACAAGGACAAAAGGTCTTAGCAACTTGAGTCTGGAGATTTTTTTTTTTTTAAATCCTTTTTTAGTTCAACATAATTGAGAAAGAAAAAATACTTCTGACATTTTTGAAGAACAGAAATAGGAAAGTATATTCATATACATTCAACATATACTGCGCATATTGGTTACTACAATACAAAGCAATGATGTCTTTAAAAGTGTAGTTCGCAGGATGGCACGGTTAATAGGCTCACTGGCTTTCATCTGGGTGGTTGCTGGAGGGTGGCATCTGCTCTTCCATAAATCCAGTACCATGTAAACAGATCAGGCTGAGTGTGTGGTAGCGGTAGGGCAAGCTGGGGCATCAGAGCTGGAACAAGCCCAGAGAAGTCAACAAT